ATAGATAGATAGATAGATAGATAGATAGATAGATAGATAGATAGATATTGATATTGATATAGTCTTATGTGCTCTAGGAAGCATTTTCCAGCTGGTGAGGTAAAGGGAACCTTGCTTCTTAAAAATTCTAATTCTTATGTCTGCATGAAATGGCTTTTCTCTAACTCATGTGTCACATTGAACTAGATCTCCATAGCATTGTAATTTGAGATGGTGCCTTCCTTTGGAAAAGCAAGCAATTCCATTTCGATGCCTCAAAACTAAAGGGTTGAGGTGATCCAGCTTGATGAAACCAGGTGCTATCAAAGGAAGAGACCACTCTGCATGCTAGCATATGCCCCCCCCAAATCATTTTGACTTCCTGTTTGGGTAGCCAATCCAATGTGCTGTTTTGAAGGGGAGCACGGGTTCCCTGTTGACTTTGTTTTGAAGGGGTTTTTGGTAGTGCCTCAACATCAGTGCAGGTATATATGCTGTTAAATAAATATTGCCACTAAAATCCGAAGGTCTGATTAATTTGTTAAGAAAGTAATGGTTTAATTTTGGAACAGTAGATTATTTAGGGAGAGGCTAGCTTATTAGTGCTAGTTCTTAGAGGGTTAATGGGTTTTACAATATGTAGCACTCTTAAGATATGTGTAGTTGACTTTGAGAGGGTGGCTTACATTGAATAAGTCATAGAACAATTTTAATATAAGCATTTTAAATGAAAGGAATGGCTACATTTTAGCAAGTTTCCATTGTGATATTGAGACTACAGCTATAAAGAGAGGTTGAAGCATCCTTAAATAACAACAATGAGAACAATCTGAGATTATTAAAGTGATGTACACGAAAAAGAAATTGGATTTAAACATTTTGTTAAAGGACCCTCTTAAAATGATAACATGTATTATTTTGCATTCCTTAAAATGTGCAATCCTCTGACAATCCTTGTTATATAATAAATGCATTTTACTTCCTTTATTTCATGCCTCTGATGTCCCTTAGATCAGGGGTCTCCAACCTTGGCCACTTTAAGCCTGGTGGACTTCAACTCCCAGATGTTCCCAGTCAGCAGAGCTGGCTGGGGAATTCTGAGAGTTGAAGTCCCCAGGCTTAAAGTTATCAAAGTTGGAGACCCTTGCCTTAGATGATAAGGATTATGTATGCTTTCCCTTGCTTTCATCTGCAGTGGGTCCTAAGGAGGTACCTATTTATTCTGCTGTCTGTGTCTCTGGGTCCTGCTCCCAAGTTCTGACCTGATGATCCCACTGATTATGAGCCTGCCCAAGTCATTTATCTGGTACCTTCGGTGGGGGAAGTCTTAAGTCTCCTACAGAGCCCGTTGACATCCGTGTAGGTCTCCTGGACTTTCTGGAGAGCTTCAGCCCCACGCAGCTCCATAAGGGAGCGCAGCTCCGACAGGGTGCAGCCAAAGCCACCTGCATGGTTCATTTCTCGCCGCTGGTTTTTGGGATAAAAATCCACAGAGCTGTTGGCCATGTCTCCCATGTTGGATGTGAGTCACAGCCCAGCTGGTTACACTGGGCAGAGGTGTGGAGGATGAAGAGTAGATTTGAGCTAGGTTAGTCTGGTAGACAGAATGAAAAACCTGTATGGAGAAGAATGGAGAAAGGCATAGATTGATCAGAAAGAAAATACCATTTCTGCAAAGAATGTCCATCATCCTTTTTCCTGGTTGCAAATTCTTCTCGCTTACCTACTCAGTCCCGCCTGTCTCCTGGATTCATTCTATAGAGCCTCAGGGGTGGGGCCACAAGGTTTTCTAGAGGCCAGCCAGCCAGGGGGCCAAGCCATGGAAGAAGCAGAGATGAAGGCCTTCTTAGAGCTTGGCACAAAGGGTGTTCCTGCTGCCCAAAGGAAACCTGTTAGAAAAGCAAGAGTTGTAGTCAAGCTCCACCCACTCATTCAGGTTAGCAAAGCCTGAAGCTCTCAGGTCAACCAATGTCTGCAATGACACTTAGAAATAAGTCAGGAATGTATACCTTCCATCAACACAATGACCGCACTAGTCTTAAGGGCTAATTCCCCCAAATAGGCTTGGCCAGGGCACATATGTTTCTCTCTGCGCAAGGAGTTTAAAGAAGCGTAATAGGTAGCTTTAAGTATCTCTAAGGCTTTATGTTCCTTTTCTTTTCCTAAATGGTTTTTGGGGAATCCAGAGCTCTGCAAAAAAGACTGTTGGTGGTCCATGGGTTTTGCACCCTTCCACTAAGCCCCAATGTGGTATATTTAATTTTAAGTCAGCTTGTTGCCTGAACTTGAACATTAATGTTTGCCAATCAACATTTTATGGCTTAACTTAATCAATGTGCCTCAGTTAAGAACTGTGATTAAAACATAGCATGATGTAGTATGATGTGCAATTTAAAATATGTTGCTCTCTCTCCAGCTTCCTTAACCTTTCCCGGTTAATCATATTTAATTTGTTGATATTCTTTAAGATGCTATTTTCCCAGGAAGATCCTGCAGATCCCAAGGGCCTGAATACATGTTGATATATTGTAAAAGACAGTAAGATAAAAAAGACAAGGTCATTATTTAACTACAAATAGGGTTTGGAATCAAGAGATTAAATATAAACTACTTTGCATATTATCCAAACCCTCCATTGTCTATTTAAATATATTGATAAAAGTGGGATGCAAATTTACCAGATTAATAAATCAAAGCTTTAAGTATTTGAATCAAGCAATAAAAAGAAATTCCTCAATATTCTTTGTAACGTGCCATTTAAAGGATAGAAGAATGTAATTCATAACATACCCATACACATGCATGCACACAAGTAAATAAATAAATAATAAAAAAACTAACCCACCTCAGGGTTTTATTATAGAGCAAAACTGATAACAGGAATTTTCTTACATTCAAATAAAAGAGGGGGAATAAGTGCTTATTTCTAGATCTGACTGGTAAATGTGCATAATGTTTGGAGAAAAAGTGGGATATCTGCAGAGTTCAGGCTGTAATGTCAATTAATCTCCAACTAAAGAAACAGGTCTCCTGTTTAAATATGAAAGGCAAACAAAGCCTACAGTTTTCACATAAATCTGTGAGTTTCAGTAGAAAAAGAAAGTAGAGTCCTAATTTTTAAGGAACCCGCATGAAATTGGTAAATTTACTTTAGGGGTCTATAGTGCTTCATATTCTACTTTTAAAAAGTGCTTTGGAACATAGAGAGGTTTACGTTTTTCAAATTCCTTAAAACAGCTGTGTCTTTTCCAATGGTTGTATGGCTGCCCTCCATTTGACTTTTAGAAACAAATTTGAAGTGTTCCCCAGTCCTAATTATATAAGTATGTGTGAGTATGTTTTCCCAAGTGCTCTAAATCCAACACAAACACGTGGCAGCTCTCAGTGAGTAGTGGATTTAAACCTGGATCAGGAACCAACCAGATCACCCAATGTTGTGAATAAATCTTCATTTGTGGAGATAAGGGTATCATAGAGGGTGAATGGGTAGGTATAATATAAGAATATATAGGCTTTAAGATGTATGGTGATCATACTAAATGTTTCACAAGTAGCTCATGTAATTAGTGCTAACATATCTAGAGTCAACAAGTAATCCTATAATTATGGTTTCTAAATACCTCAAAGTTCAAGAATTTCCCAGACTTAACTCAGTTCTGCTCTGTTTATTATTGTTTTGATGTAATCCATTCCAAATATATAATCTGCAACATTTTGAGACTATGGTGAATATTTGAGCAATCAAATGTTTGACTTCCAGTGCTGTCTTCTTGTCTTCAAAAAGAGCACATAAACACGAAACACCTAATGTAAATAAGGTATCCATGTCTCATTGTCTCCTGCTTCTCCCTTGAAGGTGAACATTTTCTTCATAGTGATTTCAGGGAAACAAGGCCCAATAGGCCCAATAAGGCTGCTGCTATCAAGGAATGAAACACCCATTTTCAAGTCATTCCTTCCTCCCATATAACCTATTATTTTTTTCTTCCTCCCAAATCAATTTCTACTAGGAGAGAATAAGCACTGTACCCAGTATAATAGCATGAAGATAGTGATTCCCAACTATTTCCGTTATGTGAATTGCTTTACCTGTATGCAACTTCGTGATGGTGCCCATGGAACTTCAAAATTAAAAGTATTTTTTAAATTAAAATGCTCAATATTTTGCAACTTTCAGGATAAAGTTATTCTGCTATCTGAAATATTGTGGAAAATTCAAGTGAGGATGCTAACCTCTTGCAAAAATTTAAATGAAAATGCCAATATTTTACACGATTTCAACCAAAAACACTGGATGAAGCAAAAACATCATTCAAATTTTGCACTTGGGAAAGTTTAATGGTATTGAAACTCAGGACCACCTGCAGTATCTTCAAGGACCACCAGTGGTCCTTCAAGCACAGGCAGAAAACATAGACTGTACAGCAAGTTATTGACAAGGCAAAGGAGCTGTCCAGGGTTCTGAAAAAAATCTTTCAACCAATTTTCTGTTTACTATTGATTCTATACAGAATATGTTTACTATATAAATAAGTAGCTAATATAGTATCCATGCTCCCATTTCCCCATGACTTATTATCTATTTTGCATCGATAAATTATATAAGTGTAATATCATATCACAGTCCAGTAGAAAATTCCCTACTTAGTTTTCCTGAAGTTGCTTTATTTGCTTTTAGAAGTGGGGCAATCAGTAATGTTTTTGATTTTATCAATTGTATAAACTGGGTTTCATTTGTCAATACTAGTATTAAAAGTTTAGAGTTGTTTTGGCTCTATAGCTCTGGCTCATTGTGGCATCCTAGACTTATTTCATTTCAAGAAGGAGAATTTCTGACTTCACCAATTGTCCAATTGCTCTCTGCGTATTCATTTATAGTTCTGCAAGGACTGATAATTAAGATGATCCTTAGCAGTAAAGTAGTTGATTACTTTGTGGTTCACTGTGCTATGTGAATGCAGATACATTGTAGTTTTAAAAATGTTTCTAAAACTTGGGTCAAGTGAAACAGGAAGTTCCTTCCAAAATAGATGCTTCTGTGCAAACGTAATTTTCTTATCCACTGAAATTAGCCTAGAATGCCAAATCACCATGCAGGGGCTATGCAACTATGCAGCTAATTAAGTAATCCCAAAAAAAGAGTTTGAAACCACCAAGGCATCATACAACTGTCTTTAGAACTCAAGAGACTCACAGGAACTCCTAATTAGTATGATCAAATCCACGGGTAGCCTAAATTGGATCCAAACCAGAGAAATCCAACACATATTTGATCCACCCCAATGCATGAAGAATTTCCTTTGCCTTAATTATATACTTAAGTTGCCATAAGGAAGCAAGAGGAGTGTGATCTTGTGTATGCATTATGCATCTGCATAACGCAGTCACTTAGCTGAGGCCACGTCAATGGAACTTGGATTATTGGTCTCACTACATAACTAGATGAATGTACAAAGGGACCTGATATATTGATTCCAAAACCATGCCTAAAGAGTGAGACACAGATATACCAGGATTACAATTCTCAGAATTCTCAATAAATGTAGGAGAGGCTAGGTTAAGATTGGGTTATCTTATCCCAAAAATGATTGTCATGATCATTTGGCAGAAATCCTCCCCTAACTTTCTTCAAGCAATATGGAAACAGGGATACAAATATATTAATTAGAATAATTCAGATCAATTTCTTATCCCTACCTTAGCCCAACTAGAAATCCACTTTACATGTATCCTAAAAGTCTTTATCTCCCAAATACGGAAACAAATCCACTCTCTCTAAGTATGGTAGAAGGAAAACTATTGGTTTTCTGCCAGCTAACTTGGAGCTTTTGCTGAGAGTCAGATATAAATATTTTAAAACAGGCAACAATATAATTCCATACATGCCGGTTAGAGGCAATCCCCTCAGAGTGTGAGGGAATCTTGATTTTAAATATTTAGGAAGTACAAAATGACCTACCTGAAATAACAAGTCACAAAATACATGTGCAGGATTATTTTTCTTGTTGACTGCTTATTTTTACAGATCTACATATACACAACCATACATTTACATATACACACATATATTGTCACACACATGCACATTACACACACATATATATTGGCACACACATGCACACACAAGTGTGACTAAGAGAGGCAATGAGAGTGTAAATAAATAAAAACAAGGCCACAGATAGGAGGTGAAAGTAATAGGCCTCTTCTGTTTGCCTTCCAGGAGTAAGCATGTAAAGAAATACTGTCAAAAAAAATCTGAGATTTCTATCTAGGGGTCGTGATTTATCAGCTATGAATTTATTCTGTCCCTTTGAAATCTATTTGCTTAGCAGCAATCAAAGAAAAGCTGCTTCTCTCTCTCCCAAATCTCTCACCCATCAATTTCATTTCATGGGATGAGCTTGAGTATTACTGCTAGGAAAGCATAGCATTAGGAGAAGGAGGGGAGGCAAGGAGATAACATATGCTGCTATTTCCCCTGGCACAGTGTTCTAAGGTTATTTGATATCTCAGGC